ACGTCTTTATTTAAGATACCCGCTACTTTATGGTCATAAACTGTAATATAATCTTTTCAAAACCATTCACTCACTTGTGACATAGAACATCCAATAAATGGCAATTTAACTTCAGCATCGTGCTAAAAAATGACAAGTACGACAAAATAAGTATCTCTCCCGAGTCTTGAGCAAAAGGACACGTTGAACGTCACTGCTTTTACCCAATTACTTATTAAGGCGTTAAAGAAGTTCTTTACCGCTAGAGGGCGTGAAGCTGGTACATGGAAATCAGCAAGATTGTGCCATTTGTGAGAGTTTCGCGGTTTAGAGGCTTTACTATAAAAACATTGCGCGCGTTAATTTTTAAAAGAGAGAGAACCATTTTAAAGATATATCACATAGCAAGGTATCACACCACATTCAGAATTTGTATCAATATGCGCGAGAGGGGGGGGGCGTAGACTGTAATCATTTTTATTTTAAAAACCTGGGAATGACATGCTCGTATTTATTTATTTATTTAATTATTTATTTATTATGGTATCAGAATAATTAAACCTTGGATCGGTGAGTGGAATTTTACAAAAAAAACAATACAATTTTGAAATGGCAGACTGGTGCATGTCAGGTAGAAGATCAAACCTTTCCACTATTTCCACTATTCTCATTACCAGTATAGTTAACTCGGCTTTCAAATCTATGATCATACTGTTTAATATTTACAAACTGCCATTCGTTTGTTAGTTTGTTAAATTGTGAGCACTTGTCTCATGTGTAAAATAGTCCTGCTTTTTATGTTTTACGTTGTTGTCTGTGGTTTCATTACGATTTTCACACAACCCAATGAGCTCTACTCGCGGCAACCCTGAATGCGAGATTGGATCTGGTCACGATGTGTACTAAATGCCGACTTTGACTCTCTCCAATCATCAAAACGTTATCTAGTTTAACCATAGACGGTATACTATATTACACTGTCTATGCTTAAACTTTGATAGTGGGACGCGTTGATCTGCGCAACAACAATCAAAGTCGCCATCTTTGTTTATATAGGACCCGTATCACCCAGGGATCGCCCACATGCACGGCGCAACAATCACACCCTTTAAAATAAAAACAAATTATTTTAATGCAGTTTCAGGAAATGCAGCTAACAAGTGACCTGGAATTGCATAACAGAGTACATGATGTTCGTCCCTTAACCTTACTGTAGTTGTCTGCGATTGGAATTGTTTGCAATGATGACAAATGAGATCACATTTCCAATTTCGCTCGATTCACTTTACACAGGTAACCGATCACAGATCATGCACGTATACCAACAATGCATGAGGTATGTGTGACGGACGTCATACATCATTGAAGTGGCAGTCAATCTTCGTAGATTTTTGATGACAGATGAAAGCGTTTGACCCCGATCGACAAATCAAGACGTTGTAAACAAGATTACTCATGCGGTGTTGGCAGTTTAATATTTATTGCATATTTATTGAATAATGTGCATTTTAAAACCCGTTTTAAGCCGATTATAAAATTAATTAATTTTGCCGGAATTGAAAATCTCCGAATAAAAAAACAACATTTTTTTCCAAACATATTATAAAAATTTCCACTGCAATGACGCGGAGGAAACCATTCAGGAACACCCCTTTGTCTGGTGGTCAGGTCGAATCCCAATTAACCCAGTTTGACACTTGATTGTACCAAGTGTCAGACAACCAACGAGCGTGTTGTTTTCCTGAATATGGCGCCCCGTGAGAGATAAATATGCGATAACCAGGTCAAAGTTTAAACCTATAAAAACAACATGCGACGTACTTTTAGCAACCGTAATAACGGTAGATGACCGACGCTTATGACGCTGAACAGAACCACACAACCGGGCCGCTATAGTGGGTATAGATCGCTTATGGGACTAATACTGTACAACTACAATCTCAATTTGCAAAGACGGTCTATAATGCAGATCAGATCAGTATATCAAACAAGAATTCTGACGTAATAGAACTGAAACTGAACAATTGATCATAAATAAGTATTTCATGTAGGATATGACGCGATGATTTTCTCCTTCTACGGGAACTTTTTTTCCCCGGTCATCAATTATTTCACACCCACTCACCTGAATCAATGGTCTGCCAGACTGCGAACCAACAGCTCATTTCTCGCTGGTCTT